TCCCGGGTGAGAATAGAGGTGGCCGGTGAGAATAGCCACTTTCAAAAGCAAAATAGGTTAAACTGCCAAAGTCAAAGACGAGCAGTCTTGTTTTCTCGCTGTACCTTTTGAAGGCATTTTCAAATGAAGTATAGTCCAGGAACATTGCCCCAAACCCAACTGAAGTATCTGAATATTTAGAAATTTAAAACTCTCTTCTTGCTTTAACTTTAGAAATTGAATTCGATGCAAAAAAAGCCTCTTCCCAGTCCTTACAGAATGGCAGAATGAAAGATGATGTCTAAATTTCGCAAATAACCTAAAGGTAAACGTCTCGAGAACAGAAACAGAGGAATAGAGATCAAGTTTATTTTTCCGAGTGTTCGGAGAATAATCACTTCGACTGAAATTTTACAATAACAATATCAACAGAAAATCAAATCTGCTCTAAAAAAAGAAATGGCTACTCTGACACTGGTGATATCACAAATGACAAACATTTGAATACAATACAGAACAATGTCTGGAACTGAAACATGAATGATATTGAACTGCTGACTGCTGGCATTGGTACTCAGATTTATGACCAGTGAGTAGGCTAAATTTACATCATGATACAGATCTGGAATCTAGATTTAGATCTAGACTAGATCTAGATCTAGATTCTAGATCAAGCACAAATCATTTTTTCAAAAGCATGTTGATTACTTGACACTAAAAGTAGGCTAATATTAACATAAAATAACACTAAGACAATATCACAGTGTAATGTATGACCATGACTGAAAGGTTCTGATTCACTTTTCTTACAACGCCGGGCAGAGTTCAGCTTTTTAAGTCTCTCGATGAGATCTTTCTTCTTTCCGAGTCCGAGTGCATCCGTAATTGCTTTCCCACTGAGTTGAGTATCACTGAGAACTGGATATTTCTATCTAAAAGACACAGATTTCATTCAACACAGTAGATCTACTTAAAAAGAACAAAACACAGACAGCTCGAATTCCCAAATGTAACCGAAACCCTGTCCTGGAGATCCATTCTTCACTCACAGCACAGCCTTCCTTGATCTTGTGAGTGAGTCAACTGACTCAGGAAACTAGGGAGGGACGAGGCATTATTTGATTGCTAAAATAAAGGAAAGTCAAACAGAACTAAACCTGCACTAACCTCCAAAAGTGTTCAAAATCATAAATGTCTAGGGTAGATCCGTGCTTCCTTCTGGATTTGTGGATTTTGTTTTTTCTTTTAAATATCGTACAACTTCTTTCGACCGGGCCACCTACATGGCTGCCATATTATTCACCATCACAGACTATAAATAGGAACCAATGAAATTAGGTTCGCATCTTGTCTCCGCCAGGGTAGCTTCCCTTTTCCAAAGAGACTCGTTCATTCTTCTTTCTTGTAATGCAGTTTCTGTGTACTCTAGGCTAGGCAAATGATAACAGAAACGCCTTTTTGCTTTTTTAGGACAGCGGGCACAGATGAGGACAAAGTCCACTGACGTAGAAACGTGGTATTTGGTCAGAATAAAGATCCTTTGGTTTTTCTTGCCTTGTGATTCACATTAAACAAAAATTAATTAAATTAGGCCACGCGAAGTGGAGGCCGACTAAAGGGGAAGGACCTTGGGGTGGGTGGGGCTTTCAGTGACTTTCAAAGCTTTGAAACACATTCATATTATCAAGCCGCAGTTTTTCCTTTAAATAAGCAGATCGTTTAATTTTCACAGTAGTAAAATTTCGAGGACCTTAATACAATTTGGACGAAGCATAGACAAGTAGACATAATAGTGGACCGAGCCAAGCCAAAATTATGATAACACTAACACGGGACGTTTACCCGGTGCACCCCCCCCACAAAAAAAATAAAAAAATTATAATGTAACAACAAACAAAACCCTGGTTAACTACACAACTTCTTATTATTCTATGTTTTACTTTATCTTTATTGAGAGGGTGACTAGGTAACTCAATCAGATAATCATATAATACTAATACTTAGGCTGCCGTGTTAAATAAATAGGCCTAGATCTATATGTAATAGTCAAATAAAGACTCTGAGTTGATACCCCCCCTTTTAAACAGTAATTATATTCAGCATGTATTCATTCATAAGTTGTTTATATTTCATGTTGTTAAAAGCCTATTTAAAATTATAATCAGTGCAATTAAGTTCTCAATCGGCTTTGTGAAATGGTTTTATAGCCTACATTTTCCAGGGTTGGAAACTTAGGCCTACTGGCAAGGAGGTTAAATAGTAAGGTCCTCACTCATTGGTCATTGTTCAAATGGCCTTAGACCAGTCCGACCCTGTGTGTAAGACCCCTGCTCAATAATGTCATTGTGTAGTAAAGTGCTTGTCAGAAAGTGTACCGTTATATTGTTGCACAAAATAATTGAACTCACTCTCAATTGAGGCAAATGAAAAAATTAAAAAGTATGACGGAATCAAAATGGCGCTTTCCGAATGAAAACAAACCGGTGCTGTGTACTTTTCCTTTGGTTTGTATTGCCCTAACACTTCCTTTAAGGCATTTAAGGATTATTAGATTATACAAATGAGGCAATGAAAAGTGCATCTCTTAAGACTACATTGGCTCTCAACCGTTTCGCTAAATCTCATTGGAATGTGGCATTATACTTAGCCTATGTCCTGTATGTCCTCCTACCTGTCCATATGTGGATGTCTCGATTTCCGACTGGGGCTTGACTCACTGGCTTGACATTGACGTTGCCTGTCCTATGATGATATTATTGATATAATGATGACAAGAATCTCTGGAATCGGAAGGACTTCCGTAACGAGCGACCACTCCAACAAACACAATAGCGATGGTAAGATTGAAGAATACTGGACCAGCGGACTGACTTTGCCCATGTCTCAACCTTGGCTTAGGAATTCATAATTTCCCCGTTTTAATATATATTCTCTCAATGGAGAATCTCGGACCAGTAGATCTATTCATTAAGATTTTGTCAGGGGGGAGACCTCCCTGAACCTCCCCTCCCCCGTCCTCCACCCCACTTTCTTGCGCAATAATGTACGAGTGGTCCGGTATTCTTCAATCTTCCCCCGTCATTATTCGGACTCGAGTCCGAATAACATTTTTTCATATTTGGACTCGAGTCCGAATAAAAAAATTTCATATTTGGACTCGAGTCCGAATAAGAAAAAATGTTATTCGGACACTGGTCCGGAAAAAAAGGAAGTAAGTGTCTTCGTTCTAGTCTATAGATCTAAGGTTCAGTCACCAGTGCTTCCAATTTTCCGCCATTTTTTAGTTTCCCCCGCACTTTGTCTGCCGATCCGATGCCCTCCG